CTGGAACTATGTAGACCAGACTGGCCTTAAACTCACAGAGATCCATCCGCCTCTGCCTCCCGAGTGCTGGGATTCAAGTTGTGTGCCACTACTCCTGGCATAACCAGCCTCTCTGTCTCTGTCTCTGTCTGACTCTTGCTGATCTTTTTTTGACAGGGTCTCCCTGTAGCCCCAGCTGTCCTGGAACTCACTGTGTAGACCAGGCTGGCTTTGAACTCACAGAGATCCGCCTGCCTCTGCCTCCTGAGTGCTGGGACTACAGGCGTGCACCACGACGCCTGGCTTCTTGCTGATCTTTTAATCAACTTGGGTGTACTCACACAGCCCCGCCCTGTCCCCTCTAGGATCACAGAGCCCCCCTCATCCCCTAAACAGAGAATATTGCAAGTGCTCAGACCTTGGTCAGCCGGCTGCTGGCAACCAAAGACAGCAGCAGGCACCTTTCGATTCATTCCCAGGCTTGCGCCCCCTTGTTTCCTCTCCCTGCACAGGGTCACCCTCCAGGCCCTTGGTGCTCACCCTCCAATGCCCACGATGCACTTCATGTCAGGGGATGGTGGGACGGTCTTGAGGTGGCCCAGGCAGCCCAGCTGCTGGTGACCCCACGGTGTGCTCTGGGGAGTCCCGGCTTCATTGACAAAATTGTGGCACCTTTATAGGTCTGGGCAGCCTGGAGGCCACCCCGGGGGAGGAGGCTCACCGGGGGAAGTGGGGTGTTGGGGGAACAGTATGCACCTGTTTCGTAGGCTGCAAATAGCTCTGGTTGCCTTTTGCCTAAATTAGTCATGAGCCAGAGGGACAGAGGGACAGCAGCCAAACTCCATCCTATCCAGCATCCGCCTCCTCTCCCCCTTCCCCCCTCCCCTTCTCCCTCTCACGCCATCCTGGCCAGCCACACTGTTCCAGTCCCTAAAAATATCTGCCTGACTTTATGTCCCCTGGCTTGACCCTGACATCCACACTAGCTCTCATGGGGCCAGGAAAAGGGACCCTCCTCCCTCCTCCCTCCTCCCTCCTTCCTGCTGTCTGTCTTCCCCCTTGAAGGGAATTTCTTTTCTGAGCAAGTCATGATTAAGATGGGTTTAGGGGCTCTGGGTGGTGAATCACAAGACAGCTTGGCTCTGGTGACCAGGCCTGGTCTGTCACCTGCCCAGGGTGTGACCCAAGTCTTGAGACCAGACATAAGGGAGCCAGGATGAGGCCCTGCTGATTCTGGTGTGTGTGCATGCACACAGGCACATGTCAGGTATCTTCCTCAAGCACTCCCTCTTTTTAAAATTTTTATTTATTTTTATTTTGTGTATGAGTGTATTGCCTGCATGTATGTAATCTGTGTTATGTAATGCCCATGGAGATCAGAAGAGAGCATCAGATTTCCCTGGAAATGGAGTTACAGGAGGTTGTCAACTGCCGTGTGGGTGCCAGGAATCAAACCCAGAGTCTCTACAAGAGCAGTCAGTACTCTTAACCTCTGAGCCATCTCTCCAGCCCCTAACCTCTTTTCAGTGCTGGGAACTGAACCTGGGTCCTCTGAGGGCAGCCAGTACTCTTAACCACTGAGCCAGCTCTCCAGCCCCCTTTTGGGTGGGGGGTTCTTTTTGACAGGGTATTCCTGTAGATCAGGCTGGCCTGGATCTGAGGTCTGCCTGCCCCCTGCCTGTGAGCACCATTGCACTGGCTCCTCCACCTTGTGGCTGGACAGAGGGTCTCACAAACCTGGGGCTCCGGATTCAGCTAGGCTGGTTGGCCTGTGAGCCCCAGGGGACCCTCCTGTCTCTACCTTCCCAGCACTGGGGTCACAGATGTGGGCATGCCACCATGCCTGTCATTTACCTGGCACTGAGGATGGGCAAACACTTTACCCACTGAGCTGTCTCCCAGGCCCAACTCTGGATTTACCCTGGGTTCCACAGGACCCCCCCAGCCTCGCCGGTCCTGGCTTCTCACCTGCAGGTCGTCCCAGCTCTGCACCCTCCTCTCGCCTTCACCCTGTCTGTCGGAGCCTCTGTCCACACACCTTTCCTCCCACAGCCCTAGCCTGTCCTTGGTTCTAGGATCAGAGAGGACCCTTCCTCCAGGGCACCACATGGGCTGGTTCTCCTTGTTTCCACGGAGGCCCCAGAGACCTAGCTGGGTTTTGTGATTGAGACTGGGGTAGATGTGGGGGGCTGGACCCCAGAGCCGCCAAGTTCATGAATGAGTTTATGAGTGACTAAATGAACGCATGATTAATGAGTGAATGAACAAATGAGTGAGTTAATGAGTGGGTGTAGTCAGGAAGGGCCCTGCCCTAGGCCTGGTATTTGGGTAGCCGCCTCATCGCACCCTCAGTTCTCCTGAGCAGGCGGTGCAGGTCCCCGAGGTGGGAGGGGACAGTGGCTGCTCCCTCCTCTCCCAGCACCTGTCTGCAGACAAACAAAATGGACCTTGGCTCCCTCTCCATTTTAAGTTATTTATTTCACATAAAAATCCCTCGCTAGCAGGGCCCGGGTGCCATTGCCACTAGGATGGCCCGGGGTGTAGACTGCGTGCGTTATGAATCCTGTGTTAGGGTCTCTGGTTTGCAGGGTCCGCTGGCCACTGGGCTCGGCTGGCCTAGGGTTGGTGGGTGCTGGTGACTGGAAGGGACAAGGGGGCCCCACAGAGGCAGGGGGCTTCACAGGGGATCTTGGTCCCACAGTGTCCTTGTGAGTGGATGGGACTGTTCTCATCTGTCACCTGATGCCATCACTACCATAGACAACTGGTTGTCACTGATTGTCACATTCGGTAGGAAGAGCCTGTTTTCATTCCTGGCTTGTTTCCAACAACCAAAAAAAGACCATCCATCAACCCAGCTGCGGGTGACACAGTTGAGCCTAGGGTTCCGCCTTGGTCCTCTTAATTTGACACAAGCAAAGACAATTTATAAAGCCTGAGCCCAGCGTGGTCATGCATGCCTGTTATCTCAGCACTCGGGAAGCTGAGGCAGGAAAATCAGGAGTTTGAGGCCAGGCTGGACCACATAGCCAGTTCTCCCCCAGAAGACTATGGTAGATTCACAAATGCCATGCACACAGTACCCTGACTTTCTCAGGATCCATCAGCTCTTCCCTGTTGCGACAATCCAAAACACCCATCACCATCCCAGGTTCAAAGGCCTTAGTTGGGGCTGGATGAACACCACTAGTAGGGGATTGAGGCCAGAGGTCCAACCTGCTTGGATTGCTTTCTTTTGTTTTTAGCAATAGGGTCTCACTATGTAGCCCAGATTGACCTTGAACTCAAAGACATCTGCCTGCCTCTGCCTCCTGAGTGCTGGGATCAAAGATACTTTGTCTGGATAGTTTCCTTTTTTTTTTTTTTTTTTTTTTTTTGTCTTTTTGAGACAGGGTCTTCCTGTAGCCCCAGCTGTCCTGGAACTCACTATGTAGACCAGGCCGGCCTTGAACTCACAGAGATCTGCCTGCCTCTGCCTCCCAGGTGTTGGGATTAAAGGCGTGTGCTACCATGCCCGGCTGGATAGTTTTCTTAATACAGTGATTTTCAGGTCTGAAGGGAATCCCAGGCACCCTGCCCTGCAAATGTCATGCAGTCTTTACTTAAATGCCTCCGGAGACTCAGTCCTCACACCGATGCTGTCAGGGCCACATTAGCCTGGCCTGATCATCACCCCAAGAGAATCTGTCCCCTGGTCCCCTGCTTAGAAGGCAAGTGTCCAGCTCCCTGGGGTGTATTTTCCAAGGGCTCTCCTGAATCCTCCAGCATTGGCAACCCTATATTTTCATCTTTCTGTGTCCACATTTCAGAGCTGGAGTGTTACATGTCCTGCTCAGTGAGGTGAAGCCAACCCTGGGACAGGAAGGCGACAAGGGAGGGGCCACAACAGGGCCCTTGGGAGGAGGTATCTGCCAAGATTGCCTTCTTGTGTGGCATCCACTTTAAAGAGAGTCAAGAATGTTCTAGAATGTTCTAGATTGAAGGGGGCAGGTTTGACCACAAGGCTGATCAGTATACGTGCAGTCAATTCAAAGGCTCTGAAGGACCATCAAATGACAGAGCAACCAGTTTCAATTGGGGTCATGAGGTCAGATGTCACAGCTTGGGGTAGCAGAGCAGAGAGGACTGGGGTCACATTCCACAGAAAGGCAGATGCATCCTCAGCTGGCGCCACTGGAACCCAAAGACTCCAACATGGGACAGGTGACCAGTGAGCAGAGAGTCTCTCCTTGCAACAACCCAAAACCATTGTCAGGACATCCCAGTAGGGATGGGCCCAAGTCCTAGGGCAACAGAGGCTGAGAGGCCCTGAAGCCCATGCCACACACATCCAGCTTTGTCAAGCAGGAACACGAACTGTGGAAGGGTAGACGGCCAAGAACCCAGTCCTTTCTGAACTGGGAGAACACTGTGTTCTTAAAGAAAAAAAAAAAAGGAGATATATTCAAGCAGCTCAGGACACTGGGGTTTGGGTGCATGGGGAAGCCAGGCGACCTTGGAAGAGGGACTTGGAAGAGGCAGGATGGCGTCCAGGGCCAGAGGGCATAGGACAGAAGTTTCTTGGTATCTGGAATCTTCTCTTCTGTCTCTAGGCTCTGGTCACATCAGGACATGCTGAACAGAGAGGACAGGTCAGGGCCAGATCTGAGTCAGAGAGCAGAGTCACTGCAGCAGTGCAGAATCGGTCAGCTCGCCAAGCTATGGAGAGTTGTGAGCAGAGAGGGACTTGCCACCCACCTGCCCATAGACCGGAAGGAGGCCTCACTGCCATGCAACAGCAACAAAGACCTGGAGACTCCTGCCCTCTGCAAGAATACACCCACCTACCCATCCATCTTCATATCCATCATCCATCCATGCAGCCCACCATCAACCCACCCATCCATCCACCAATCCATCCATCCACACACCCATCCATCCACCCACCACCCACCCATCCACACACCCATCCATCCATCCACCCACCACTCCACATGTCCATCCATCCATCCACACATCCATCCATCCATCCATCCACACACCCATCCATCCATCCATCTATCTATCCACACATCCATCCATCCATCCACACATCCCCACACTCATCCATCCATCCACCCATCCACACACCCATCCACCCATCCACCCACCCATCCACCCATCCACCCATCCACACACCCATCCACACACCCATCCACCCATCCACACACCCACCCACTCATTCACCCATCTATCCATACATCCACCCATCCACCCACCCACCCATCCACACATCCATTCATCCGTCCCCCACTCATCTACCCATCCTCTATTTCTCTGAGTCCCATCTGAGCTTGAATGGACACCATGGCCATGTGCACAGCTAAGCTGTGCCCCAGTTCCCCTGGAGTGGCATATGAATGTTTATGACCATTCGGCTCCACTTCCCATTCTCTTTCACCCTCACATGTCATGGAACAGTTGCCCCACAGGTGAACTCCACTTAGAAAGTTTCAAGAGAGTCACTCTCAGCATGCTGCACCACACCCACCTCGTTTCCTGGTCTTCTGTGACTTCAGCTGACCTGTGGGCAGGAGAAGGTTAGGTATTACTTCTCTATCTGGGGACACTGGACATTTCTGACCTATTGTTTAGGACCTTGAGTGTCCATAAAAACTGGTGCCATTTTGAGTTTTCTAGCACAAAGCAAGCATCAGTACACACTTGCTGCCTAACAAATAAGCCCAAACAGACAGAAGCGAGAACAGCCAAGCCAGTAGTGTTGCTTAGAATTAGCCGGGTGTGGGAAGGCATCAACCACACCCTATCTACCTCCTCAACAGACCAGCAGCTCCTGCCTGGGGTGTGTGGTGGGGGATCATGTCTCACCCTGGTGCCCCTTGTGAACTCACCCGTCCTCCTCTTCCACTGTCTGTGGCTTCTCTTCAGGTCTGGGAAGGACAAACTCGGGCTGGGGTCTTGTGCTGTGGACAGACAGAACAGGTGACAAGAGTGGGGGACACTGGGCTGAACCCATTGGCCTGCCTGGCCCTAGGGTGACCTTGATCTCTTCGAGAGAATTTAAGAAACAGTCTTGCTGCCCTTGGGAGTGTTGAAAGGGGGACACAGGCCAGGATGGGACACACATTACCCACAATCAAGGAGTGAGGAGTGGGGTAGGGCTGCTCATCTGTCTCTCTCTTCGAGATAGGGTCTCATGTAGCCCAGGATGGCTTTGAACTCTATATAGCTCAAGTCAAGGATGACCTTGAACTCTTGATCCTCCTGCTTCTACCTCATGCCTGGGATGGGGATGACAAGCATGTGACACCATGCCTTGTTTCTGTGGCACTGGGTGCTTTGTACGTACTAAGCAAGCCCTTTACCCACTGAGCCATCTCTCCCAACACCAAAAGGCAAAAGTATTGAGTCATGTAGGGACACTGGTTGGTCCCAACCAAGTGGAAGCCACCCAACCACCCTTTAAATGAGAACTGGCCTCAGGCCTGGACCTCTCATAGGGCCCTTCCCTTCACAGAGCCTCAAGAGTCACAGTCCCACTCTTCAGAGTGCTGCCCCTCACAGAGTATCACTCATCACAGGCCCCGCTCCCTCAGATGCCCTACACACCTCTCCCTCTTGGCTCTCAGTCTCTCTTCTTCATACCTGAAAGATAAAGATGAGAAATAGGGACTGGAGAAATGCTCAGTGGTTCAGAGCACTGGCTGAGCTTGCAGAGGACCCGGGTTCAATTCACAGCACCCACATGGCAGCTAACAACCATCCATAACTCCAGTTCCAAGTGACCTGCTGCCCTCTTCTGACCTCTGTGGGCAATGCTGACACAGGTGCACCTACCTACATGCAAGCAATACACTCATACACATAAAATAAAAATAAAAAATTTTAAAAGATAAGATGAGAAATAGCCGGGCATGGTGGTGCACACCTTTAATCGCAGCACTCAGGAGGCAGAGGCAGGGAGATCTCTGTGAGTTTGAGGCCAGCCTGGTCTACATAGTTTCAGGCTAGCTGGGGCTACAGGGAAACCCTGTCTCAAAAAGACCAAAAAAAAAAAAAAAAAAAAAAAAAAGATGAGAAATAAATCAGGACACACACCCCAGCTCCCACTGAGAGCCACAGACTGGAAGTGGAGGGTGGGTGATGGCCTGGGAAGCAGATGGAGTTGGCATGGAAATCGGGATACAGCTTCAGGGTGGGAAGATGGAAGGTTCTGAAGATGGTGGAGGAGATGGCTGAATGGCTGTATGAATGAGCTGAAGCATGGTTACAATGGTGAATTTTCTGTAATGTGTATTTTTATTTATTTTTAAGGCAGGTTTTTTTTTTCGGTCTTTTTGAGACAGGGTCTCCCTGTAGCCCCAGCTGGCCTGGAGCTCACTATGTAGACCAGGCTAGCCTTGAACTCACAGAGATCTGCCTGCCTCTGCCTCCCAAGTGCTGGGATTAAAGGCATGTGCCACCATGCCCGGCAAGGCAGTTTATTTTAATCATGTGTGTCTGTGTGTGGGTTTGTGCACATGAGAGTGAAGTACTTGCAGAGGCCAGAAGAGGGAGTCAGAGCCTCCTGAAATTGAAGTTACAAATGGTTGCTAGCTGCCATGTGGGAACCTAACCCAGGTCTTCTGCAAGAACAGCTAGTGCTCTTGACTGCTAAACTGGCTCTCCAGCCCTGCAATGAGGCAGTGGGGAGGTGCTGGTTACATAGTCTAGGGGGAACCTTGAGGGAAGTAGGGAAGTAGTCCCTGGGTTGGGTCCCCTGATGGGTCCCCTGTTCCCCTCCCTGCTGAGTCTGGATTAGGGTGTCGCCCACACTCACTGCAGGACACATTCCGGGATCTGCACATGCTCCATGGGGATCAACTGCTCCAGCTCTTCCAGGCTGTGCACGTACTGGATCTTACTAATGAACTTGACACTGGCAGGAGAGGACAGGGGAGACAAGGGGTCACCGGAGAGAGCCACGTCCCCACATTACCCAGTGGGAGAAGTTGCCCGGGTTGGCCTCGAGCTCACAATCCTCCTGCCTCAGCCTGTCTACCCCCTCCCCTGGGTGCTTGGACCACAGGCATGTGTCATGACACCCTACTTGGTGACATGCTTTGTGTCTATTTTCCTGCATGTCAAGTCAGAACTTGGCTTAAGCACTGAGGAAGGATTTGGGGAGAAAGATGGATGGGGAAACAGGACCAGTTAACAGACCAACAGAGATTTTGCAGCTGGACATCACAGTGGCCACTTTGGGCTGCAAATAAATGATAAACACTTCACACATACTCCTTTATTTATTGATTTTTTTTTGGTCTTTTTGAGACAGGGTCTCCCTGTACCTCCAGCTGGCCTGGAACTCACTATGTGGACCAGGCTGGCCTGGAACTCACAGAGATCTGCCTGCCTTTGCCTCCCAAGTGTTGGGACTAAAGGTGTGAGCTACCATGTCAGCTTTATGGATTAATTTTTGATGTAGGGTCACCCTGTAATCCCAGCTGGCCTCGAGCTTGCTATGTAGCCGAGGCTGGCCTTGAACTTACACAGACTCACCTGCTTTTGCCTCCTGGGTGCTAGGATTAAAGGTGTGCGCCACCACACTCGGCAATATATTCTTTTTCTCATATTTATCCATTGTGTGTGTGTGTGTGTGTGTGTGTGTGTGTGTGTGTGTGTGTACAAATTGCAGGGGAAAGTTCTCTTATATCATGTTGATACTGGAGATCAAACTCAGGTCATCAGGTTTGGTGGTAAGTGCCTTTACCCACTGAGTCATCTTGCCAGCCCTTCAAATGTATTTTTATCAGGCAGATGTCTGTGAGATGGAGACCAGCCTGGGCTATAGGGAGACCCTGTCTGAAAAAACAAAAGCAAAAAAAAAAAAAAAACCCAACAACAACACATTGTGGGAGCGTGAGGACCTGAGTTTGAATCCCCGGCACCCAAACAAAAGGCCAGACGTGGTGGCGTACACTTGTAACCCCTGTGCTGGGGAGGCAGACAAGGGGATCCTGGGGGGCTTGCTGGCCAGCCAGACTAGCTGAATCGATGAGATCCAGATTCAGTGAGACAGTGCCTCAAAAATAGGGTGGAGCTGCAAACACAGCTGAGCGGTGAAGAGCACTGGCTGTGCCTGCAGAGGACCTGGGTTTGGTTCCCAGCACGCACATGGGAGCTGACAACCATCTGTAATTCCAGTTCTAAGGGATCCGATGCCCTCTTCTGGTCTCCCCAACATTGCATGCATGCAAGCAAAACACTCATATACACTAAAATAGATTATAAACAAACAAACAAATAAATAAATAAACAAATAAATACATAAATACATAAATAGGATGGATGCCAGAGAATTTTCCCTCATGGTTTGGGCACACAGACAGCCCAGCAAGTCCAAGACATCACCTGATAAAGGGACGAGAGATGGCCAGCACAGTCCGAATGAACCAGGACGGGTGGACAATGATGAGGGATTTGAGATTCTTCCGCAGCCTGTGGAAACAGAGAAAGGAGCTGACCGGGAGAGGCATGGAGGAGAGAGCCCAGGAGGGCTGGTGCGGGCAGGATGGACACATTACAGGAGCAGAAACTACCACCACCATCCTTCTCCATCCCTCCCTCCCATCCATCTATCCATCCATCTCTCTCCATCTATCCCTGTCTCTCCATCCATCCCTCCCTCTCCATCTATCCATCCCTTTCATCTATCCATCCCTCTCTGTCTGTCCCTCCCTCTCCGTCCATCCAACCCTCTCCATTTATCCCTTCCTCTCCTTCATCTCTCTCCATCCATCCCCCTTGGACTCCATCTGCCTATGATCTGCCGGCAGGAACCTGCACCATGTGGTCCCTGTGTCCTCTTAGTGGACCATATCCAGGGCACCTCAGAAGTGCAGAGCAGGCCCCCAGGTTAAGAGAAGTCAGGACTGTATCAACCTCTAGTGCCAGAGGATGGCCAGTGTGCCCCTTCATCTCCCCCACTGTCCTACTTTGAAGGAAGTGCTTGCATGTTCAACTTTAAAGTCATTTTGTGACTTTTAAAATAAAACACAAAGGGTAGAAAGAGCCCAGTGTTCACTATCAGATCAACAGACAAACCCTGTGTGGCCCAATCACAGGCTGGAATATTACTCAGTAATTATAGAACGGTATTCTATTCTGACCTGTGCTCCAAAGCTGCTGGCCTTGAGGGCACGGTGCTCAGTGACATGAATCAGACACACAGGTACACACTGCAGTGTCCCACCCTCCACAGATTCCTAGTGTCATCAGCCACCAGCCAAGGTCCAGAGCAACCTGGAATGAATCTCCCCCAAGGGTTCGGAGAATCCCACCTCCGGTCAATCATGTGGTAGCACTTCTTTAGCCAGCCGATGCCCGGCATCCTCCGCCGCGGTGTGGCGCCGTTAAGGTACACGATCATGTAATCCTCGGCCACGAGCAGCTCCAGGCTGCTGATGACATACCTGCTCCCGTGTGGAAAAGGTTCTCATGCGGAGGCCGCCCTGGTACCTGCCCTGGGTGCCCCCACCCTGCTGGGCCAGCCACACCTGCGCAGGTGGCGACACAGCCAAGCAGGTGAGTTCCGGAAGGCACCTTCTGGAAGGGGAGTGAATCCGGGTGTGCGCACAGTGCGCACTCGGAGTTCTGGCTCCCATCCCAAGCACCCAGCTTCCTAAATGGCGGAACTTCCACCTGAGACCGTAGGCTCACATCTGCTTTGTTGCTTAAAATTTTTTTTTCAGATAATCTCACTGTATAGGCCAGGCTGGCCCGAAAACCAACAGACATCCACCTGTCTCAGTCTCTGCCTCCTGGGTGCTGGAATTAAAGGCTTGACCACCACGACCAGCACATTTCTTAAAATTAATTAAAAATTTTTTTTTTGTTCTTTTTGAGACAGGGTCTCCCTGTAGCCCCAGCTGTCCTGGAACTCACTATGTAGACCAGGCTGGCCTTGAACTCACAGAGATCCACCTGCCTCTGCCTCCTGAGTGCTGGGATTAAAGGCATGCCCCACCACACCCTGGCAATTAAATTTTTTTTTCAGACAGGGTCTCCCTGTAGCCCCAGCTAGCTTGAAATTCCCTATGTAAACCAGGCTGGCCCCAAACTTGCTATACAGACCAGGCTAGCCCTGAACTGGCTATATAGACCAGGCTGGCCTCTAACTTAGAGATTTGCCTAGTTCTGCCTCCTGAGTGCTGAGATTAAAGGCCTGTGCACAGGCCTAGCAAAAAAATATTTGTTTTTAAAGAGAGGAGCTTATTCTGCAGCCCAGGCTATCCTGGAACTTGCAATCCTCCTGCCTCAGCCTCCCCAGCCTGCAGCTACTCTCTTCACTGAGTGGCACCTTCCAGGGTTCCCAGAGAGATTCTCAGAGCCCAGAGTACCCAGAGTGGGTCCATGGTTCCCTGAACTGGCAGGTCACCCCAGCGGACTTCAACATACAGGAAGAGGTTCTCCATGATGTAGTGGTAGTCGGGGGCGGTGCTGTCCGGGAGGAAGCAGGCAGCAAAGACGATAATGGCGTTGAGACCTTCCCCATAGTACCCTGGGGAGAGACACCCTGTGAGTATCAGGGAAGCACAGATAGGCCCCAGGCCCCCAAATATCAACCCTCACCACCCTAGACACCCCAGTGGCATCTTCAGTTTGTTCTGCTACCCCTGGAAATGAGAGGAGGGCTTAACATTTCCAGGAATTAGAGGAGGCCGAGATCCCCAGAGGACCTCTGACGGTACTCCAGCCTCCTGGTGTCCCAGGTGATTGAGGCAATGAGGAGGTTGCGAGCACACACCTCCGTGAGTGACCACCTTCATGTACGGTCGGATCATGTGCAAGTCTATGCGATGTTCTTGCTCCCCGATGATCACCGTCCGCCACAGGCGACCATTGGCAGCGCCGCCTTCTGCTGCACCATCGCCAAACAGATCCGCACTGTCTCCCGGCATGTTCTTGGCGGTGGCCACTGGGGTATCATCTGCCAGAAGGTCGGGTGAGCAGAGGGCGTGTGAGCCTGGATCGCTTTTTAAAAAATATTTCTTTTTATTTTATGTGTGTTTTGTCTGCGTATAAGTGCACCTGTGTTGTGCAATGCCCACTGGGGTCAGAGGAGGGTGTTGGAGCTCCTGGAACTGGAGTTATGGATGGTTGTTAGCTACCATGGGGGTGCTGGGAACTGAACCTGGGTCCTCTTCAAGAGCAGCAGTGCTCTTAACCGCTGAGCCAGCTCTGTAGCCCTGAGCCTGGATACCTGTCCTAGCCCCTTCTGTCTGTCCTCACCTCCTCAGACTACAGATATTTCCCGTTCTGATGCCTGTGATGGTTAATGCTGTCAGCTTGACAGGATCCAGAATCACCCGTGGAGACAAGACTGGACCTGTCTGTGAGGGGGTTTCTGGATTAGGTTAATCAGGAGGGAAGACCACCCTGAATGTGGGCTGCGCCCCTGGGCTGGGGTCCTGGACTGAATGAAAAGGAGAAAATGAGCTGAGCCCCAGCACGCAGCTCTCGCCACTTCCTGACTGGACTGCAGCCCCAGCACGCAGCTCTCGCCACTTCCTGACTGGACTGCAGCCCCAGCACGCAGCTCTCGCCACTTCCTGACTGGACTGCAGCCCCAGCACGCAGCTCTCGCCACTTCCTGACTGGACTGCAGCCCCAGCACGCAGCTCTCGCCACTTCCTGACTGGACTGCAGCCCCAGCACGCAGCTCTCGCCACTTCCTGACTGGACTGCAGCCCCAGCACGCAGCTCTCGCCACTTCCTGACTGGACTGCAGCCCCAGCACGCAGCTCTCGCCACTTCCTGACTGGACTGCAGCCCCAGCACGCAGCTCTCGCCACTTCCTGACTGGACTGCAGCCCCAGCACGCAGCTCTCGCCACTTCCTGACTGGACTGCAGCCCCAGCACGCAGCTCTCGCCACTTCCTGACTGGACTGCAGCCCCAGCACGCAGCTCTCGCCACTTCCTGACTGGACTGCAGCCCCAGCACGCAGCTCTCGCCACTTCCTGACTGGACTGCAGCCCCAGCACGCAGCTCTCGCCACTTCCTGACTGGACTGCAGCCCCAGCACGCAGCTCTCGCCACTTCCTGACTGGACTGCAGCCCCAGCACGCAGCTCTCGCCACTTCCTGACTGGACTGCAGCCCCAGCACGCAGCTCTCGCCACTTCCTGACTGGACTGCAGCCCCAGCACGCAGCTCTCGCCACTTCCTGACTGGACTGCAGCCCCAGCACGCAGCTCTCGCCACTTCCTGACTGGACTGCAGCCCCAGCACGCAGCTCTCGCCACTTCCTGACTGGACTGCAGCCCCAGCACGCAGCTCTCGCCACTTCCTGACTGGACTGCAGCCCCAGCACGCAGCTCTCGCCACTTCCTGACTGGACTGCAGCCCCAGCACGCAGCTCTCGCCACTTCCTGACTGGACTGCAGCCCCAGCACGCAGCTCTCGCCACTTCCTGACTGGACTGCAGCCCCAGCACGCAGCTCTCGCCACTTCCTGACTGGACTGCAGCCCCAGCACGCAGCTCTCGCCACTTCCTGACTGGACTGCAGCCCCAGCACGCAGCTCTCGCCACTTCCTGACTGGACTGCAGCCCCAGCACGCAGCTCTCGCCACTTCCTGACTGGACTGCAGCCCCAGCACGCAGCTCTCGCCACTTCCTGACTGGACTGCAGCCCCAGCACGCAGCTCTCGCCACTTCCTGACTGGACTGCAGCCCCAGCACGCAGCTCTCGCCACTTCCTGACTGGACTGCAGCCCCAGCACGCAGCTCTCGCCACTTCCTGACTGGACTGCAGCCCCAGCACGCAGCTCTCGCCACTTCCTGACTGGACTGCAGCCCCAGCACGCAGCTCTCGCCACTTCCTGACTGGACTGCAGCCCCAGCACGCAGCTCTCGCCACTTCCTGACTGGACTGCAGCCCCAGCACGCAGCTCTCGCCACTTCCTGACTGGACTGCAGCCCCAGCACGCAGCTCTCGCCACTTCCTGACTGGACTGCAGCCCCAGCACGCAGCTCTCGCCACTTCCTGACTGGACTGCAGCCCCAGCACGCAGCTCTCGCCACTTCCTGACTGGACTGCAGCCCCAGCACGCAGCTCTCGCCACTTCCTGACTGGACTGCAGCCCCAGCACGCAGCTCTCGCCACTTCCTGACTGGACTGCAGCCCCAGCACGCAGCTCTCGCCACTTCCTGACTGGACTGCAGCCCCAGCACGCAGCTCTCGCCACTTCCTGACTGGACTGCAGCCCCAGCACGCAGCTCTCGCCACTTCCTGACTGGACTGCAGCCCCAGCACGCAGCTCTCGCCACTTCCTGACTGGACTGCAGCCCCAGCACGCAGCTCTCGCCACTTCCTGACTGGACTGCAGCCCCAGCACGCAGCTCTCGCCACTTCCTGACTGGACTGCAGCCCCAGCACGCAGCTCTCGCCACTTCCTGACTGGACTGCAGCCCCAGCACGCAGCTCTCGCCACTTCCTGACTGGACTGCAGCCCCAGCACGCAGCTCTCGCCACTTCCTGACTGGACTGCAGCCCCAGCACGCAGCTCTCGCCACTTCCTGACTGGACTGCAGCCCCAGCACGCAGCTCTCGCCACTTCCTGACTGGACTGCAGCCCCAGCACGCAGCTCTCGCCACTTCCTGACTGGACTGCAGCCCCAGCACGCAGCTCTCGCCACTTCCTGACTGGACTGCAGCCCCAGCACGCAGCTCTCGCCACTTCCTGACTGGACTGCAGCCCCAGCACGCAGCTCTCGCCACTTCCTGACTGGACTGCAGCCCCAGCACGCAGCTCTCGCCACTTCCTGACTGGACTGCAGCCCCAGCACGCAGCTCTCGCCACTTCCTGACTGGACTGCAGCCCCAGCACGCAGCTCTCGCCACTTCCTGACTGGACTGCAGCCCCAGCACGCAGCTCTCGCCACTTCCTGACTGGACTGCAGCCCCAGCACGCAGCTCTCGCCACTTCCTGACTGGACTGCAGCCCCAGCACGCAGCTCTCGCCACTTCCTGACTGGACTGCAGCCCCAGCACGCAGCTCTCGCCACTTCCTGACTGGACTGATCCTCCTGCCTCTGCCTCCCAAGTGCTGGGATTAAAGGCGTGTGCCACCATGCCAGCCTATGAGCCAAATTTTAATGTTTTGTTTTTTCTCCTGGCTAGGTTGGGATAGTCTGTCTCAAGGATGGAGCTGTAGTACCCACTGCCGCCTACAGGTGGAAGTCTTGCCACAGAAGCTGCTGGAAGAGTGGCGCCAAGCCCAGGCAGCAACTGGGACACGTGATGTAAGGGCGGGAGCAAAGTACTCAGCAGCTGCTAGAGGTCCGGCAGGCTGTGTACTCAGGCCGGTGTGCACAGCTTCTACAGCGGTCCCGGGGAATTGCAGAGAAGGTTATGGAGGGCCCTACATTCGCAGATGATTTCACTAGGCACGTGGCAGGTGTTGCACTAGCTTCTATTTCCCAATCAACCAGTCGTGACTCTCACCTCCCTGTCCCCGTCCCTGTCCCCAGCTGCGGGGACAGGGACACCCATGTCCTTCTTTCTCAGTCCCTCCCCTGCATCTGTCAGTCATCAAAGACCTAAGAGCTCATAGCAGAAAGAAATGCACAGAACTGATCACTAGGACACTTCTAGAGACTTCCATGGCACCTCAACAGTGCCCTGGGAATGGCATGTTCCAGGAGAAACTCGGAAATGCTCATTCCTGAAGAACCATCTCTATTGGCCACTCTCTATCGCGTTTGTTTATTGGTTTTTTGAGACCGGATCTGACTATATAGCCCAGACTGGCCTGGAACTCATGGCAATCCTCTCGATTCATTGTAGTGGGTGATCTTGGTTGTCACCGTGACAGGATCCAGAATCACTGTGGAGACAAGACTGGACCTGTCTGTGAGGGGGTTTCTGGATTAGGTTAATCAGGAGGGAAGACCACCCTGAATGTGGGCTGCGCCCCTGGGCTGGGGTCCTGGACTGAATGAAAAGGAGAAAATGAGCTGAGCCCCAGCACGCAGCTCTCGCCACTTCCTGACTGGACTGCAGCCCCAGCACGCAGCTCTCGCCACTTCCTGACTGGACTGCAGCCCCAGCACGCAGCTCTCGCCACTTCCTGACTGGACTGCAGCCCCAGCACGCAGCTCTCGCCACTTCCTGACTGGACTGCAGCCCCAGCACGCAGCTCTCGCCACTTCCTGACTGGACTGCAGCCCCAGCACGCAGCTCTCGCCACTTCCTGACTGGACTGCAGCCCCAGCACGCAGCTCTCGCCACTTCCTGACTGGACTGCAGCCCCAGCACGCAGCTCTCGCCACTTCCTGACTGGACTGCAGCCCCAGCACGCAGCTCTCGCCACTTCCTGACTGGACTGCAGCCCCAGCACGCAGCTCTCGCCACTTCCTGACTGGACTGCAGCCCCAGCACGCAGCTCTCGCCACTTCCTGACTGGACTGCAGCCACAACGGGAGCAGCTGCCTCACGCTCCTGCCACCACGATGGACTGTGCCCTCAAACTGTGAGCCAGACTAAACCTCTCATCTCCTTTAAGTTGCTGTGTCAGGTGTTTTGTCACAGCAATGAACAAAGAGATTACATGGCTGCAAGACTTGCCTATCTTCCTCTGGCTCCATTGCCATCTCTCACAGGAAGTCCCCAATGATTGAACCCCAAGCCAGATACTCTCCCAGGTTCCCCCACCCCAAGGCCTCCTTCACCCCCATCTGGCTGGTTTACTGCTTTTTTTTTGTTGTTATAATTTTGAGACAAGGTCACATAAGACAACATAGCGCTGGCTGGTCTCAAACTTGGCATCCTCCTGCTTCCACTTCGTGAGTGCTGGGGTTATAAACACTATTTAAAAAGCCACAGGCCAGCCAGGTGTGGTGGTGCATGCCTGTAGTCCCAGCACTTGGGAAGCAGAGGCAGATGGATCTCTGTGAGTTCAAGGCCAGCCTGGTCTACATAGTGAGTTCCAGGACAGCTGGGGCTACAGGGAGACCCTGTCTCAAAAAGACCAAAAAAAAAAAAAAAAAAAAAAAAAAAAAAAAAAAAAGCCACAGGTCAGAGCTGTGTCTGTGGCTCAGTGGATGGAGTACTTGTAGCTTAGTGGTTAGAGTGCGTGTAGCTCAGTGGGTAGAGTGCTTGTAGTTTAGTGGGCAGAGTGTTCTCATAGCACACACAAAGGCCCTGAGTTCATCCCCAGCATCTCACAAACCAGGTGTCACACACCTGTCATCTCAGCACTCAAGAGACAGAGGGAGGGGATCTCTGAGATCCAAGACCAGCCTGGTCTACGTAGGGAGTCCAGGGCAGCTGGGGCTACAGGAAGACCCTGTCTCAAAAAACAAAACAGAAATACATATATTTAACACAGGTCTGGGGGAAACAAGTGTCTTCAGTTCCCCGACCAATGGTGTCTCCCAGAGTCAGGATGGCTGGGGCCACAGAAGCCACAAGGAAGGGGCCACTGAGACTGGAGGCCACATGGCTACATGGGGGCCAGGCAGGATGGGGCAGCCTGAGGGACCCCACCTTCCCACTCCAGTTCGTTGCCATTTCCCAGGAACTCCAGTGAGTCAGTCTCATCTGGGGTCTCGATGTCATCCACGTTGATATCCAGATCATCGGGGGTGTCCAGGAAGTCATCAGACAGCAGGGAACCCTCACTCTGGTCCAGGGAGATGTTGATGTCAGGGGCCACCAGCGTCTTCCTCTTCCGATGGGCTCCATCAAAGTTCAAGGTGGAGGGAGGGGCTGCCAGGAACCAGATACAGTAAAGAGGCAATCAGTCTCTCTCCCAGCTTCCCACTGCTATGTAATCAAGGATGACCCTGAACTCCTGATCCTTCTGCCTCCACCTCCCCAGTGCTTGGTTTGTATGGTGCTGGGCATGGGACCCAGGGCTTCCTGCCCACTATGCAAGCACACTACCCACCGAACTTAAGCATTCTACCAGCTGAGTTACCAGCCCTCTACCCACAAGCACTCTACCCAGTGAGCTATAGTCCTAGCAGATCTGGTCTCTGCCCTACTAAATTGTCCCTAGGGGTTAATGTCAAGCTGAGCTTAGCAGGGCTGGGCCTTCAGAGGGAACCCGGGAGAAAAGCAATTCTTGGTCCCCACAGTGTCTGAAGGACCCCAGCATCACTGTGCTGAGTGAAAGGTCTCTAACAACTCTGTGGGGAGTCCTGTCCTTCAGGTACTAGGAACAGTATTCGTTTATCTTGATGAATGGCCCAGCTCTGCCAGGTGTGACAACACAGGCCTGTCATTCTAGACACTCAGCACATTGAGGGTGGTTTAAAGTTCAAGGGCAGCCTGGGCCAGAGTGAGCCATGTCTCACAAAACCAAGGGCAAGAGGCCAGAAAGATGGCCCAGTGGGTGCTTGTCGCCAAGCCTGATAACCCGAATTCAATCTCTAGAACCCTCATGGTGAGAGAACACACATAGGTTTTTCTCTGACCTCCACACCTGTGCTGTGACACATACTTGTCCCCTGGCCTCTGCCCAAGACTAAATAAAAGAGTTTTAAAAATATTTTATTCCTATTTTCTGTGTATGAGTGTTTTGCCTGCATATATGTAAGTGTAGCCCTGTCGTGAAATGCCCACAGAGATCGGAAAATGGTCTCAGATCCCCTGGAACTGGAGTTATGGAGGGTTAACTGCCATGTGGGTGCTGGGAACTGAACCCAAGTCCTCTGCAAGAGCAGCCAGTGCTCTTAACTGCTGAGCCATCTCTCCAGTCCAAAGAGAATAAAGACGTTTTTAAAAAGGGTTGTAGATGGAATAGCCCCTGTCTAGACTCCCAAGAGATCTGCCTGCTTCTGCCTCCCAAGTGCTGGGATTAAAGGAGTGCACCACCACGCCCAGTTTCATATATTTATTTTTATTTTGCTGCAGGGCCCCTTGTGGGTGTGTGGCTGCCTCACCTGTAATTCTAGAAAAGTCTTGTACACACTGGGCAGGGACACTGGGAACTCAAGGCCAGCCTAGGCAACTTGGCCAGATCCTGTCAAAAAGTAGTGAAAACAGGACTGGGGTGAGGCTCAGAGGAGAGGCAGAGCCCCTGCCTAGAATCCTCAGTGAGGGGCTGGGGGCGTGGCTCAGGGGTAGAGTGACAGCCTAGGAACCCCCAGTGAGGGGCTAGGGATGTGGGTTGGAGGTAAAGGCCCGGCCTTCTACATGCAGGTCCTGAGTTCATTTCCCAGCACCAAGAATTAAAAGTTAAAGAGACAGTTCTCTCTTTTATTTGAGGAGTCCTGAGCATCTGGTCTGAGCTGCCCCTTCAGGAGATAGAAATAAATTTGAGTTTCAAGAAAAACATCAAAGGAAAACCCCTCACGTCCTTCGCAGGGTCTGGGCAGTGTTGTTTCTACGTCCCACACAGCTTTGCACTGCAGGCTCAGAATCTGAGGGTGTGATGGGTGTGGGGTGACTCACGCGGGTCATGTTGGGCTGAGATTCATCTCTAGGTTAGTGCGAGGGAATTCAGTGGGAATAGGTAAAAGCTTTACTGATGTCCAGCACTGAAGGTCTTTGCACAGGGTGACAGTAAGATTGACTTAAAAGTTGACAGTTGTCACTAATAGGTGACTGAAGGACAGGGAGTTGAGGCAGAGTACTATCAAGCTTAAATATCAAATGGAAATTTCCAGAAAGACAGAAAGAGAGGCTGGTGGGAATAACCAAAATAACTAAGTCATGCGTGGTGTTGCCCACCTGTCATCCCAGCACTCTGGAGGTAGAGGAGGGATCAGGTGTTCAAGGTCATCCTCAGCTACATAGTGAGTGTAGTGGTTTGAATGAAAATGCTCCTGCTCCAGCCACCTCCTGCCACCACGCCTCCCCGCCATGACAGACAGTAATTCCCCTGGAACCGTAAATGCAAATAAACCCTTCCTTCTATAAGTTGCTTGGGTCAGTGTTTCTATCACAGCAACAGAAAAGTAACTATACAGTGGGTTTAAGACCAGCCTGGACTACTGTTAGGGTTCAGATACACAGCGGCACTGCTCCCTCACCTACAGGGTCTCACGGGTTCTACAAGCCCCTGAGATAAGCACTTCCTATCTTAGCAGACATTTTCCCTAACCAGAAGGGAATCTGTCCCATGTGTTCCTTTGCTAATAAACTCTATTCTGCTGGAGTTTTATCTGTGTCCTGGTGCTCTCTCCTGATCAACCTGATTCATCCATTGGCTACTTTACCTATCAACTACCTAATACACTGTCTCATAAAAATAAGCAAAGCAAAAAGTAGAGGACCTGGGTTCAATTCCCAGCACCTACATGGCAGCTAACAAGCGTCCACAACTCCATTGCCAAAGGATCCAGTGCCCTCTTCTGGCCTTCTCAGGCACTGCACACACATGGTGCACTTAGAAATACGCAGGCAATACACTTCTACACATAAAATAAATGTTCAAAATGTTCAAAACAATAAACCAATTTGAAAAAAAGAATACATAAATTTAAAAAAATCATTATGGGGGAGTTGTGGGAGGGTGCCATTGGGGACGGGGGTATAAAGATGATTAAGATTGTTTGAGCTGTTCTATATGAAATACACAAAAAATTTTAAAAAATTTTTTGAAAGTTATGATTAAAAGAACAGATAAAAAAATTAAATACAGGGGTGTCGGGGATTTAGCTCAGTGGTAGAGTGCTGGCCTAGCAAGCGCGCAAGGTCCTGGGTTTGGTCCTCAGCTCCGAAAAAAAAACCAAACAAACAAAGTCTCCATATTCATATTATTAGTTTCTTGTAACTTTCCAGAATAAAATACACATTTTGTTACATTTTAATATAAACTGTTGTATTTATATTTCTTTTTAAAAATATTTTATTATTTTTATTTTATGTGTATGCGTGTATTGTCTGCATGTAGGTAAGTGCACCCGTGTTGTGCAATGGTTGCAGAGGACAGAAGAGGCTGTCAGATTCCCTAGAACTGGAGTTACAGATAGTTGTTAGCTGCCATGTGGGTGCTGGGATTCGAACCCGGGTCTCCTACAAGAACACCCAGTGCTCTTAACCACTGAACCATCTCTCCAGCCCCTACTTTATATTTCTTAAATAATATGTCTTGATGATCTTTCTATATCAGTTGTAGAGAGTATACTCTTAGTCGTTGTTTGATTATTCCAAACTATTTCATATACCATGCTTTTACAGACCTAAATAATGAATATTTGCTTTAAGCTGTGGTACTGTTAATAAACCAAAATTTAGTAAACAGATGGCTAGCTCATGATAGAATTTGGAAAGCACAAAATATGGTACTACTGTTTAACTTCGTTTTTTTCTGTCATTAATTTAAATAGTATTGTAAATATTGTTTACTATTGTAAGTGTAATAAATCCCACACTACTGTGACACAGAAAAAAAATCATTATAAAATGGCATTTATCGCCAGGTGTGGTGGTGCATGCCTTTAATCCCAGCACTCAGGAGGCAGAGGCAGGCGGATCTCTGTGAGTGTGGTCTCCATAGTGAATCCAGGCCAGGCCAGCTAGGGCTACAGGGAGATCCTGTCTCAAAAAGACCAAAAAAAAGAAAGAAAAAAAAGGCATTTATCCTAAAAACAAAAAACCTGTGAGGCATGGTGAGGTCTATCCAGCACTTGGGAGGTGGAGGCAGGAGGATCAAGAGTTTGAGGTTATCTTTGGCTACATAGGGAGGTTAAGTTAGCCTAAACAGCATGAGACCCTATCTCAGACCAAACCAAAAATAACTAAACAGAGGCTGGAGAGATGGCTCATCCATTTAGAGCACTAGCTTCTCTTGCAGAGGACTTGGGTTGGAATCCCAGCACCCACATGGTGGCAAACAACTGTTTCTGAGTTCCAGGGAATCTGTGCCCTCTTTTGTCCTCCACAGGTATTGCATGACACAGGTGCACTTACACGCATGCAGGCAGAACACTCATACACATAAAAAATAAATAAATAAAAATCTTAAAAAGAAGTGATCAATAAACAGAGAAAGAAGAAACGGTTTCCACTAACTGTCTCTCTGGCCCATCTTGCCCTTTTGCCTGGTCTGTGACGGAACATCTTAGTCCCTCCATGGGTGATCTAGAAACGGGTGATACTGCTGGATTCACAGATTTGTACAGACCATGAGTCTACCCCACCCTGCACCACACCCCGAACTCATCCTCCTCTCAATTGGAAGATACTTAGATAAGATCCAAACCTGAACTTGGGGGTCTGGAGGAATAAGAAATCATTGGGGGAATATAAAATGGCTTTAGTGCAACTTATCATACAAGTGTAAGAGTGGATATTTAGGAAGGCCCACAGGCTGCAAGCATGAGATGTCCAATTCAGTCCCTTCTGGAACCGGTCATGCCATGTAGCTGAGCACAGTGGGAGGCTGAGGCAGGAGGATTGCCACAGGTGAGGCCAGCCAAGGCACAGAATGACTTCAAGACCATGCTGGGAAAATTAACAAGACTGTCTCAAAAGAAAGGCCGGGGCTGTGGCTCGGGGCGGGGCGGGGGGGGGGTAGAGTGACAGTTTATAATCCCTCAGTGAGGGGCTGGGCTCAGGGGTAGAGTGACAGCCTAGAATCCCCAGTCAGGGTGTGCGGGCGTGGCTCAGGGTAGAGTGACAGCCTAGAATCCCCAGTGAGGGTGTGCGGGCGTGGCTCAGGGTAGAGTGACAGCCTAGAATCCCCAGTGAGGGGTTGCGGGCGTGGCTCAGGGTAGAGTGACAGCCTAGAATCCCCAGTGAGGGGTTGGGGGCGTGGCTCAGGGTAGAGTGACAGTCTAGACTCCCCAGTGAGGGGCTGGGGGCGTGGCCCAGGGTAGAGTGACAGCCTAGAATGCCCAGTGAGGGGCTGGGGCAGGTCTCAGTGCTGAAGGCCTGGATGCAAATAAAAGCAGATGGGGAGATTTGGAGGATGACGAACAGGCATTGGAGTTGCCCTGTGATATGGAGGCAGAGTTGAGACTTTGCTTCTACAGGCTGAAGACAGCCGGGCCCAGGTGTCAGTCCTGGGGTCTGTTCTGGGCTCACTCCCTCAGCCTCAGAATGAGTTGTCTGTACTTCAGTTTGACCTGCTGGTTCTCTGTCTATCAATGACACTGCCCTGGAACTCCCGGCAATCCTCTTGCCTCAGCCTCCCTAGTACTGGGATTCATGGCATGCACCGCCCTTAAATCAAATACATATATTATAGTATATATGTAGACCAGCTCTCACAGAGATCTGCCTGCCTCTGCCTCCTACGTGGGGACTATTGGCATGTGCCACCTCACCTGGTTCCCTGCTTTATTTTTTGAGACAGGGTCTCTCACAGGGACTCACAGATTTGGGTAACCTGGCTGGGTAGTGAACCCCAGGGATGCTCCTGTCTCTGTCCCTGTGAAACACCACATCCACATACTTTCCTTTGTGTTGAGGATTTGAACTCAGGTCATCATGTTTGCACAGCAAACACGTCACCACTGAGCCTGACTTAGTCTCCTCACTATACCCACACCTCCCTACTCTGTGAAGCATTTAATCTATGAAGAATTGGAAGCACAGGGGACTGGAGAGCCGGCTCAGTGGTTAAGAGCACTGGCTGCTCTTGCAGAGAACCTGGGGTTTGGTTCCCAGCACCCACATGGCAGCTGACAACTATTTGTAACTTCAGTTCCAAGTGATCTGCCGCCCTCTTCTGGCCTCTGCAGGCATTGTATGCATAGGTGCACCTACATACATGCAGACAAAATACTCATACACATAAAAGAATTTTTTTGTTTTTGGTCTTTTTGAGACAGGGTCTCCCTGTAGCCCCAGCTGTCCTGGACCTCACTAGATAGACCAGGCTGGCCTTGAACTCAAGGAGATCCGCCTGCCTCTGCCTCCTGAGTGCTGGGACTAAAGGCATGTGCCACCATGCCTGGCTACATAAAATAATTTTTGTTTTTGGTCTTTTTTTGTTTTGTTTTTGTTTTTGTTTTGAGACAGGGTCTCCTGTAGCCCCAGCTGTCCTGGAACTCACTATGTAGATCAGGCTGGCCTTGAACTCACAGAGATCCGCCTGCCTCTGCCTCCCAAGTGCTGGGATTAAAGGCGAGCGCCACCACGCCCGGCTATAAAATATATATTTTTTTAAGTATTGGAGGGGCTGGAGAGATGGCTCAGTGGTTAAGAGCACTGGCTGCTCTTGCAGAGGACCCGGATTCGATTCCCAGCACCCACATGGCGGCTACAAACCGTCCTTAACTCCAGTTCCAGGAGAATCCGAAGCCCTCTTCTGACCTCCGAAGCATCACACGACAGGGTGCACTCACATACATGCAGGCGATACACTCATACACATAAAATAAAATATTTTAAAATAAAGAATTGGAGGCATAGAGACACTGAAAAACCAATCTGAGGAACACCAAGTGAGACGTGGTTTTGACAAGAGTGACCCTAACCACGTGACCCCTACCCTGCCAGCCTCGAGACACAGCAGCCCCTCTCCTACACTGACACCATGCGTGTACCCTCTGAGAATTAACTGGACCCAGGATACAGAGCTCTCGTTTCCCAGCACTGGGTGAACTTACAGGAGGAGTCTTCCACTGTGCTGCCCAGTAGCTCCATCCCCGAGTCTTCTGGGAGGGGCCTGTGGAAGCCACAAGAAAAGGGAGTCACACGCAGCAGGAGGAACATGAGTCACCCCACCATGTCCCCCCAAGTGTGTTGCGAGAAAAAAAAATGGTAAGAAAATGTATTAGACACAGAAAATAACGCACTCCGTATCAGCCCTACCTTGGAAGAGAAAATTCACGAACCATCTGTGTAGGAAGAGGGTATTCAACAGAGCCACGCCCCCAGCCCCTCACTGGGGGATTCTAGACCGTCACTCTACCCTGAGCAACGCCCCAGCCCCTCACTGGGGATTCTAGGCTGTCACTCTACCCCTGAGCCACGCCCCAGCCCCTCACTGGGGACTCTAGGCCGTCACTCTACCCCTGAGCCACGCCCCCAGCCCCTCACTGGGGACTCTAGGCTGTCACTCCACATCTGTGTTACACCTCTAGTCCTCACCATATGATCTTATTTGTTCTTCTCAGTCGATCTTGAAGGCAGACTGAAGCCCAACTCATAGAGAGGAAACTAAGGCTGGGGACAGACACAATTGCAGGTGTTGAAGATTGGCTGCATTGAGATTTTGCCCTTCAACACTGCTCTTTACCACCATGGGGTGGCTGGTCAGCAAGCTGCACAAAGCCCCTTGGCAAGAAGGTAGCAGGTCCCTGTGCTACAGGAAGACTTATTTCACCCTGTATTGTCTAGGAAAATTTTCCCCCAACTAGAATCTTGCTGTGTAGCCAAGGCTGGCTCAGAACTGACGATCCTTCTACCTCAGGCACTGAGGAATCTGGGATCCCCGGCCATGGTCCAACCTCCCAGCACCCTGGGCAATTCTACTGGTTGCCAATCCTGGATTCTCACTGGGCCACAAGGCCTGCTGTGCAGCAAGTTTGCAGGCCAGCCTGGGAAACTGAGGAAAGCAGGTGGACCAGTGTGGGTGTGTGCAACACTGGGGCCTGTGAGCTTCTGAGGTACTTGAGTCCTCTCTGTGCCTCAGTTTCCCACATCTGCAGAGTAAGGTTGGCACGGATGTTGACTTTTTTGTTGTTCATTTAAGAAATGCTGGGTAGGGTTGGAGAGATAGATGACTCTCCTTAACACTGGCTGCTCTTGCAGAGGACCAAGTTTCAGTTCCTAGCACCCACATGGTGACTAACAACTGTCTATAACTCCAGTTCCAAGGGCTCCAATGCCCTCTTCTGACCTCTTCAGGCATTGCAGGACATGGGTGCACTTAAATTCAGGCAAACACTGACACACAGAAAAACTAAACACGTCTAAAAAAAAAAAATGATGGTGTTTTTAATCCCAGTACTCAGTAGAGGCATATCTGTGAGTTCTAGGCCAGCTGGGGCTACAAAGTGAGACACTGTCTCAGAAGCAAAACAAACAAAAAAGATGCATTTTATGGCTGGGGCGATGTCTCAATGTGTAAAGCCGTTGGCACACAAGCTAGAGGACCTGAGTTCAAATCCCCAGACCCACATAAAAGGCTGAGGATGGGCCAGGTGTGGTAGTGCATGCCTTTAATCCCAGCATTTGGGAGGCAGAGGCAGGCGGATCTTTGTGAGTTTGAGGCCAACCTGGTCTACATAGTGAATTCCAGGAGAGCTAGGGCTACAAGGAGACCCTGTCTCAAAACAAAACAAAACAAAACAAAACAAAACAAAACAAAACAAAACAAAACAAAAAGGCTGAGTATGGTATGTGTTCGTAAATCCAGACAGGGGAGTCCCTGGACCCCCAGCTGCATCAGTGAGCTCCAGGTTGAATGAAAGACCCTGTCTCTAAATGTGCACTGGCACACACCAGTCACAGGGTGGGGGCTGGTCTGCCCCCTGCAAGGCAGACAGACACCCCAGGTCTAAATCCCCAGATGGAAGGCTGCACACAGAAGCCTTTGTGCCACCACAGCTGGACCTGCTTCTAGAAGCCCCTGGGTCCTTCCAGGGACTAGGAAGGCAAAGGACTCCTTGGCCAAGTGCCAGGTGGGCGCTCAGAGAGCTCACAGTCCTGGTACTGTTCAGCCGCTGTGTTGGGAGTAGCCACTGTTGACTCAAGGATTCATGGGCAAGACACCCTGGGGTCTGCCCGGCAGGCCAGTCACCTGCTGACAGCGACACTGTGCTCTGATTCCTTTCTGTCCCCAGATGGTTTAGAAAGAAAAGACATAGTTTCAGTTTCTACCACCCTTCAGTTTTGTTTCTTCTACTTCTTTTTTAAAATTTCTTTTCTTTTTCATTTTTCTCGTTTTTTTTTTCTATTTTTTTGGGGGCGGTATTTTTGAGACTGGGTCTCTCTGTAACCCACACTACCCTGGAACTCACTATGTAGACCAGGCTGGCCTTGAACTCACAGAGATCCACCTGCCTCTGCCTCCCAAGTGCTGGGACTAAAGGCGTGCGCCACCACAACCAACTTCCTTTTTTTTTTTTTTTTTTTAAATTTTTTGCCTTTTTGAGACAGGGTTTCCCTGTCTCAAAAAGACAAAAAGTAAATAAATAAAAAACAAAAAAGGGTCTTTTGTAGTCCAAGCTGGCCTCAAAATCACTATGCAGTCAAGGATGACCTTGAACTCCTCTACCTTCCCAGTACTGGGATGATGGGTCTGTACCACCATGCCTGGTTTCTATGGTTCTAGAGATGAACTCAGGGCATTTTCTACCATTGAACTACCCCGCAACCCCTCACTGGGGGGATTCTAAGCTATTACTCTACCGCTGAGCCATACCCCCAGCCCCTCACTGGGGAATTCTAGGCAGGGGCTCTACTGCTGACACAGGGTCAAGTCTCTAGCACAGGCTGTCTTGGACCAAATAGCCTATCAGTCTACAGGTGTGGTGACCACGCCCATCGTGAACTGGCAGCCAGAGCTCGCCCTCAGGGATTCTTGGGGAAAATCCTTCCAGGAGGCTCAGACATGGTTTGCAGCATCTGCTGCCCTCCCCAGTGCAATGTGTATACCTGCGGACCAGTGCTGAAGCCTCACCTAGGCGGGTCCTCATCCTGCCACTCCTCCCTCACATCCACGCTTTCCATCCGGAGTGTGGCTTCTGTGGTCCCCATGGGAGCTGGGGAGACTGGCAGGCTCGAAGTTGGGGGTCCTGGAAGATCTGCAGATGGAGGGACAGATTGGACTAGACCATCTTTGTGGCCACACACACCCTTCTCACAGGAGCACACATCATCTTACTGAACCGTTCGAAGCACATGAAGTGTCCCATTTCACAGATGAGTGGATACAAGTTGAAAAAGCTAAGGAAACCTAGGTGGGTGTTTGAACACACGTGAGGGATTGAGCCTCCAGATTCTAGTACCTATAGGGACATGTCAAATCCATCCCTTCCAGAATAATCCATGACTTAAACTGACACATTCTGCCTCCCTTCCTTGGACCTCAACTGCAAAGCAACGAATTAAACAACAACAACAAATCAATCAACTCATTCATACTAAAGAATAACTGGTGAGCTCATTTTTTTCTGCTGTTGGGCTGGCAAGATGGCTTAGTGGGTAAAGGTGCTTGCTGCCAATCCTAAGGATCTGAATTTGATCCCTGGGACCATATGGTAGAAGAGGAGATGTGGTATGGTAAGTACACGCTCCAGCCCCCCCCCAATTAAAAATAAATAAATATATTTTAAAAAAACAAGTCACAGGTCTAAAGGTTAGCCTCAATCTCACAGAGATCCGCCTGCCTCTGGCTCCAGAGTGCTGGGATCAAAGGCGAGCACCACCACCTCTCACCCACACATGGCTTTTCCGTGGGTGCTGGGGATTTGAACTCAGGTCCTCCTGCTTCCAGGGCAAGTGCTTTATCTCCTAAGCAATCTCCCTGCCCATTTTGTATCCTTAAACCAGCGGTTTACAGCTGGATACAGTTCCTCTGCCTCCCTCTCCTTCAAGGGATATTCAGCCACATCCAGTGGTTTTGTGGGTCTTGTGACTCAGGGAATGAAGCGCTTCTGGGCGAGGCCAGCACTGCCCTGCACAGCCCCCTCCCCAAACGTAGGTGCTCACAGGGCAACGTCTCTGAAACCATATTTGAATTGAAATTGCTGTATGTCTCCCTATTTCAACATGGACAACAGGATTCCAGGGCCAAACTTAGCAGCCATCCATCACAGAATATTTTGATTTTGATTTTCCTCCATGCCAACCTCTGGTCACAGGCTCCCCATCTATCCCTGTGTCCCTGACCCACACACAGCCCATCTACGGCTGGTGTCTGAGGAGTGTTCTCAGAAGCCCACGAATGATGGGCCTGCAGGTACAACCAGGGCCTGGTGACTGAGGACCCTGGTGGGGAGGGAGGAGGCAGGGGCGGAGACTGGACCACAGTGTCATAATCCATTCATAGAGGAAGGACAGCCAGACACAGTACAGGAGGAAAAAAAATAATTATGTGTGCTCCGGGCAGCACATCTTCCAGCCAGGGAGCCTGGTCTGGCCAGGCAGAAATAAAGTTCACTAGGAGAGGACCCTCCCCCCATCCTGGGCTGGCCAGACCTTGGCTCCCCTAGCAAGGACCCTCAGCTCTAGATGCATCTGTGCCCCTAAATAGATTTCCAGATTCAGGGTGTGGTAGGTTTCCAGGGAGCGCCAGGCAGCAGCCAGAGACCAGTGGTGGAGGAAAAAGAAATCATAGGTAAGCAGGAAAAAGAACCCATGTTTCCAGCCCGGTGGGAATGTCTGTGAAATCTTTATATATATATATA